CTTGCTATTGCTGATGATCATGAAAGAAGCCCTGAAATCTTTATTTTACATAGTGTTGATAAAGTTGTGAGCTGTGGTAAATTTTTGAACAAACAAGCATACTTTTTGATTTTATGTCTTAAAATGTCACATAATAGTGTAAGTTGCGGTAAATTGACACTTACCACTCACTTTGTTCCCATTTTTCTCAGAACGCAAATCCTCGAATGTTCAACGCTAACGAGAGTATTGGTCTGGCTCTTGCTGGAGTTTATCCAGATTGTCGAGCTTTAAAGGATTACGCTTGTAATGAGGTAATAATCTCCTAATTGTTGATTTTCTCAGTGCTCGGGAAATTTGTCTATACTGTGGTCCAGCCTTTTCCATAGTTAGGCTTGAAGGTTCAGTTTTGATGATGATTTCAAAACTACTAAAACAGCAACGTATTAGAATTTTGCAGGCTGTCAAGTATCTCAAGGACTATCGCGAACCTATGCCTGTGCAAAAACTTGCAAATGCTGTAAGTAGTCTACAAATAGTTTTCTACTTCATTTCTCCAATTTTATGATAATAGTGTTTAGAACTCTACGGAAAATACAATGTATTAGCTTGAGCTTCCAGAATTTAGTCTACTATTCCTTCACATGCTTATCATCTTCTCTCAAATGTTCATATCATTTTTAAATTGCTCCTTTTCTTGTAAAAATTAATGTTGTCAAATAGGTTTCAGTAATTGTAGTAAGTCAAATAACTAATTAAATAATAAAAAATAAATCAAATCAAATAATAATTAATAAATAAACGCCTCAATTCCTTTTCCAATCTCGTAATTCTTCCAAAATTGTTTTGAATAGGGTTGTCAAAGTCTTTTCGCCTCATTTGCACCCTTTTTCTTAAACAGCAACCTTTCATCAACTGTGATTTAGAATTTTTCATTCCGGTTACGCTATAACTAAACGTTTCGGCAAAAATCAAATAACTTTCAGCTCGCAGAGTACGTTCATATATTTACTCTTGGTATCAGTCGTCCATTTGGTGCCGCTGCGTTCTTCACATCTTGGAATGCAAAGGTACTTCAAACCTAAATGCTTTTTTTCCTGAAATTTACATCCGGTTTTTGGTACATGATATTTTGGAGTATGTTGGAGCTTGAAAGTGCGCCCTTTTTGTTTTAAGGACAATTATTTATAGGAAGGTGGTAAGCTTTACCTAGTGGAGCCGTCGGGTCTTTGTTACGAATATAAGGCATGGGCAGTCGGAAAGCACAGACAAGCCGCTAAGGTACTGATTATCAAAAACATCGAATTGCATGTTTTCTCCTGATTGCTTGGTTACAGGCTGAAATTGAAAAATTGAAGTTGGAAGATTTTGATATGAAAGACTTAGTCAAAGAAGCTGCTCGAATAATCATTGCTATTCGGGATGAAA